AGGAAGATTATTGCTAAGGTTGGCAAAGGGAATAGTGACTGAATTGGAGGCAGTAAATTAACTGCCAATACAAGCGAACATGCCAGTCCCAGGAAGTAATTGAGAAGAGGACGATTCGATTACTGGGACAATACTGTTTTATTCGCCTGACGTTTCGAGATCTGTCGCGGATTCATCATCAGAGACACAGGCAGAAAGCAGTAGCGTCATTTCGTCGTACTGCCGGCGAGGCCCGGCCACACATTCAAATTTGATGGGACCGAAATTCTCGCAAGAGGTGACAATCGTGTGAGCCGAGAATTACTTGAATCATGGTTCATGGGCCCACAATCCATAAACAAAATCAACGATTTGCGCAACCCATACTCGGTGCTGAGGCTGAATTAGGCCAAAGCAAGTCCCCAATTGGGGAACGCACAGGCTACTGCGTCGTCTTAAGCCAACACCGGAGAGCCGGATGGCCGAGCAATCATCACGCCCTGGTGAGAAAAGCTCAGCAGGTCAGAGCCCGCATGTCGTTCAACAAACTGTCAACGCACAAGAAGTCAATTACCGTTATTTCTCGTTGTATGTTTTCAGTAATGACCGTATCTTATAAATACTGCAAACTTCCGTGCACATTCTATCCGTATCTGCCACTGCTTTCTGCTTATGTCTCTGACGATGAATCCGCGACGGAGCTCGAAACGTCAGGCGAATAAAAATATTGTCCCCGCGATCGAGTCGTCTTCTACTCAGTTAAGTAACTGCCCTAACCCAACTCGCTCACGGCTTTGGAGTTTTTCGTTTTAATAAACGAATATACGATCCCGAGACTTTTGTTGTAAAAAGGACAAAGGCGCGACGGTGAGAGTACCTACTAGGGCCAAGGAAAGGTCCTTATGTATTATAACCACATACTTACAAATTTTAAATAGGTTGAATTACCCACAATCTTTCAGTTTACTGCACGCTGGTCGTCGACCCAGTAGGGATTGGATGATAGCATGGAACAACAGCGGGTCTTAGGAAGGCCACCGCATACAATAACCGCTTAAGTCGCTATATTAAGCAAAAACGGCTATAAAAATCGTTTACTTCATTTTTTTAAGTAGGGTGAATTCCACAATCTTCCAACTTCTGCGCTCGTTAACCTTTATTCTAGTTGGAGTTAGTGTAACTACTAGAAAATGTACCTTAATGACCTCTCCCGCGGTGAGAACAAACTCCCCTAAATAAACGCGCTCGCCGTTGGGGGGTTAGCGATGATATTAAAGCGTACTTCAGTGCCCTCGCCCGAGGTTTGAGTACGCACCCCACCTTACCCTCGTAACTTTTTCTTGTTTTACAGGATTACTGCGAACTTATTTGTCCCCTGACATGCCCCACCCATCCTTTCTCCTAAAATCGGGAGTCCGTAAGACCGAGGGGCGCGCTTTGCGCACCCTCTCCCCCCCTCCAGGCGGCCCTGCAAGGTACTCCTACCGGCACGACCACTGGGACAGCACTTGTATTAGTCTGAGCTTTCGGTTTCGTGCAAGAGGTCATCTTCAGAGACAATGAGAGTGCAGCAATAAATGACGTGGGTTGTTTTACAGGGAAGCATGTAGCACTCGTGATAGGTTGACTCCACGCCCATGTTGTCTCACTTGGTCCGCACGGCGTGCGTCCTTGGCTGGGAAATCAGCCGCGCTTCTTGGCCAAGCAAACGAAGGGCCTGATAGCAGGGGGCTATTTCAACTTGTCTGGTAATGCCGGAGTCAGATACCCAGGCCTCCAGTAATTCTCGCCCCATCTTATTACCGGCTCACGCCACTATCTGCATGTCTGTGAAGCTGAATTCGTGACCTTCCTCGAGGGTACGGGTAACGATCTGAGATAACGGGTCGCCTTTCCCCTCTGCCCGTTTTTGCTCCATTATTCGCAAGCTAAGTCGTCGTCCGGTCTGCCCTGCATAACAGCAAGAACAGTCGCGACCTGGCACTTGATAAACGACGTCATACTGATCATATACATGCAGCTAGTTTTTCATTTGCATGATCCGTGAACGCATGGTAGCTGTCGGACGATGGTTGAAACGTCCGACAGAAAAGTTGCGAAACAGAAGTTTGTGCACGCTTTTCCCAGAAACTGCCTACGCAGCTGACCTGCTTGCTACAAGTCAACCTTCAGAACTGTTCCATATGCCTAGGATTTACCTACGCCAAAACTAACATTGATATTCTCCTGACAGTAAAAGGTACTTTGACCTACACCCACTATCAGCACAAATTTACGGCTGGGACGAGACTGAACCGGTCATGAAGGTCACAAGCTGACAAACATAGTAAATACGGAGTATACCGAGCTCAATAGAAATTAATACAGTCTTGAGTAAATTATACTCTAGATCAATTTTAAACCGAAGCCTAGTTCAAGTCCTCTACAAGCTAACTTAAAATCTAAATATTTACGAGTTGGGTGGCGTAACACACAAATGAAACAACACAAAGGGGCTAAATTCAAAAACAACCGACCCTTCATGTTCATATGAAAACTGTACGTCTATCACGCTGGAAGGGCGGCCAAACTCGCCAGGTTTCGAATCAGGTCAGAATGATTTTCCTACCTTCGTACGGTGTCAACGTTACCAACGCATCCTGATTGACTCTAAGCAAATAGAGTATTGGGCTATGCGTATGTCTCAGACTTGTCTACGATTACCTATGATAAAGGATTCCCGACGGAATCCAAAAGGTCGGTATAATAAAACTCTTGTTTAAGTGATCGCTTCTTCTTTTTCTTCTTCTTCTGGATTGGGCTATGTTTTTAATTCGGTACAACCTTGTCCTATCGCAAATTTCATAGCGAAGTTTAGACATCAGAGTTTTTAACTATAATTTGTTGCGGTTGCGTCGTGGAGAGAACGTGCGCTCCCAAGAGCCGGACCACGCCTTTCTGAAGCCATGTTTTTCCAACTATGAAAATAAACGCAGTGGAACAGAGGCATGCGCAAAAACAGAAAGCCAACGCACTCGGTATTCATCTAGGCAAGAGAAACCTGCGATATCTCACCTTGCAACCTCTACAATCTCCAAGTCGAGCATAAACCTGGATGGAGGAGGGCAACTGACTGCCTGTTGGTCCAAAGGAGGTAGGGGAATGACAAGGATTGCCACAAGCAAGGAAGAACGCCCATTGTGGTTTTTTGGTACTCGGAGAGATATAACTAAAAAATAAAATAAAGTATGTTTACCCACCTACTAGTTGTATTTAAGTAACCACTATGTATGGTAACTCACTAAGAGTGTGTAGCCTGGAGGGGGACATAGGGAAGGTCAGAGAAGCAGAGGCAACATTCGGGCAAGTTTTCCTGGGTATCCGCGCCGTAAATATTAAAAAAACTTTGACCGTCTTCCTAAAAAGTTCATACATAGACAGGGGAAAGCGAAGTCTTGCCTTGACAAATCCCACGCCTGCCAGGTACTCCTCGCTGGCATAGTCGTAAAGAGCACGAATGCATACAATGTCAGCAACTAAAAAGAGCATTTAGTCAGT